GATCAGGTGTCATATCCTGGTGTATTTACTCATTGGTGTGACCTCAAAGCCAGGGTCATGGCCTGGATGAGCCCTCATTTCCCCTTGCACTGGATGTTGCTGCCTACTTTTTGGTGCGGTGGTCAGGATTGCACACTATGAATCAGGTGAAGTGTTTGACACAGTGCTTAGCTCCTGACACCATCAAGTGGGTGTGGTTATTAGTCCCACTTAGCCTCATCCTAGCCCTGAGACATGGACAGGGAAGTCATTACCTCCTTTTCATGCAGGGAAAAAAAGGCTCAGGCAAGTCAATCACTTTTTCAAGTGCACAGAGCAGCTCTACTTGGCAAGTTTAGCTTCAAACCTAGGTCTAGCCTCAGCATAGGTTCACTGCCCTTCTCCCAAAAGGTTTGCTTCCCATGCCGAGCGTGCCTCAGTCATCTGGAAACTTCTACTCTCCTAGACAACACATAAGACCTCCTCAGGAACACATTAGGCCTACAGCACCCTTTCTCTCTTGTGGCAGTTTTAGCTTGGGCAGCAGCCAGTCTGGCTGGTCTGCAATACCTGGGGATCTTGTTTCCACATCCCCAGCACTAGGATTACAGGTGTATGCCACCCCAACCAGTGTTTATGTTTTTCCATGGGGGCTGGGGATTGAACTCAGGTGCCTGACTCCACAAATGCAGGTCAGGATCCTCAGATGAAGTGCTAATGGTGAGTACTGCACTATCTCACCAACTCCCTCCCACCAATATTTTGATACTGCTTTAATGATATTCTACTTTTTTATTTGGCTTGGGTATGTTTCAGGACTTTTATTTGGTTGTATTAAAATGTCTAGTCTTATATCCAACACCACTTTGTTTTAATGATCAGAGTTTTGATATACACTTTATTATTGATAGCACCCTTCACCACTTCTTTTAGGTATTCTGACTCAGTTAATATAATGTTCAAACTTTTTCTCATAACAAGTGATATGGGCTTGTAAAATTTGGTGATTATGTTTTCCAAATTCCAGATAAGGATGCGTGATTAACAAATAGAAATGTGGTTACTCTGGACATTAATTCTGCTTCCTGCCTAGGGCTATGCACATGGCAGGTGCTGGTTGACTAAATGGATATAGTGCTCACGATATTTGACAGATTTGTGACTTCTACAGTAATTAGTTCTTATAGCTAGAGACCTTTCTTTTTTGCATGTTAGGAAAAAAATTCAAAGGTTATTTGTTCTCAGTTTTCACTGTTCAAGGAGCTCTTAGGTAGCTTACAGGAAAGCTGTGTCACCTACATATTCAATGCAGCCCAATTAGTTACTAAGAGTCACAGTGCATTGAAATCAGAGTGTAACTAAAGTGAAAGCTACAGGAAGTAGCAGCAAATCTAATGAATATTCAGTGGTGATTAGGATGCAAAAAAACTCAGAACAGCCTTAAGTATCAGCTGTAATATGGAGTAATCAGGTAGCAGCTACTTGAACCAACTGCTTGAAAGTGATGTGGTTTTGATTGGGAGATTTCTTAAGAATTACATTTTAAAAGTTAGGCCCACTTTTTTTCAAAAAAGGTTCAATTGACACTCTGATTTAATTAAAGCACATACACATATACAAACAAGTACAAAAATATTAATCATTAGTCATATTCAGCTAAATGAACTGTGCTCTTCTGATAAGCTTAGAAAACTAAGATCACTGAGTGAAGGGAATTTAAAGTATTCTTTGGGGTGATATATAAACATTTTAGAAATAGAATTATTGGTCTAAAGTTTTATTCTTGGGGCTTTCAGTGGTTATTCCATTTATCTCTCTATCTCAAAGTACACTCAAATCTATATTATCATCAATACCGTCTTAATCCTACTAAAAGAAAAATGGTAATTGAAACTCTCAAGGAGTTTTCTAACCCTACTCCCTAAAGAGACAATCAGAAAATACTCTGAGCTCATATCAGGTATTTGAATTTTAATTTGCATATAGATACACAGTTTTAAGGAACATTCAGAGGTGAAGGCACATTCCATAAAATCTTCTATATCTTTTGTATCCATGTAGTTCACAGTTACTGAGAATTGATAATCCATTAACTCATTAATATTTAATTGATCCATTCATTAAACATTTTTGGCTGCCTTGAGGTGACCTTGAAGCCATAAAGATGCTTGATAATTAAATATTCAATTATTTTTATTACTTGACTAAGTCAGGAAAGTTATTTTGGCTCAATCTTAATTGAGCCAGAAATTATAAATGCAAAGGTTGTTATGTATTTTCTGAATATAATCTTTCAATCAATATATCAGATAAGAAATATCTGCTACTATATCCATGCAGCAGATCACCTGGGTTCACAGCCAAGATCTCTCAGGTCCTTGCTATATGATCTTTAGCAACTTATTTTACTTTTCTGTGCCTACTTTTCTAATTTATAAAGTACCATCAGTAATAGTTCCTACATCATGGTGATTAAATTAAGTAACACATAAAAAGCTCACACAGTGCATAGTACACAGCAAACCCTGAATACAAGTGAAATATTGTTATTATTAATTATATTTTTCAAATAGCTATGGTACATGAATCATGCATGACACATATCAAGAAAAACAGAAAGCATATGATTAAGTGCTTGATTATATGGTGTATATATCAAGAAAAACAAAAAGAGTATGATTAAGTTCTTGGTTATATGATACATATTATAAGTACCAAAGGAGATCAAGGAGGCAGATGTCAAAGATTTCACGATGTGGCTTGAGTTGAGGCTTAAATAATGGACAGAGAAGGATGAGTGTAGAGAAGGCATGCCCAGAAAGATGCATATAATAAAAATGAAGAAAAGGAAAGCAAAAGTAAGTGTTAGAAGACCATAAAAATCAGTTGATCTGTATATCATTTAATTCAAAAATTTCATTCTGTATCCCAAATGAGACTTTTGATTTATATAGATAGGAAACAGTCTTTTCAGAAAATGACCTGGTCTATGTTGTGTGCGCGCGCGTGTGTGTGTGTGTGTGTGTGTGTGTGTGCATATTTGTGTGATGTTCTCCATTACCTTTTATGTGGTTCACTTGAATTCTCTCATTTAATACTTATATTAATACCTTTTTATGCACAATACTTATTATAATCAATTTCATTTTAGTTTTACTATCCATAACATATAAAGAAATTTTTTACCTGTGTTTGTGTGTGTGGTGTGTGAGGGTATATATTTGTGTATATACATGTTGGTATATAAGGCACATATGTATGCACAGGTTAGCACACATACAAATTTGTGTGTGTGTGTGTGTGTGTGTGTGTGTGTGTCTGTAAGTATAGGAGCAACGCTGACATCCAGGATCTTCCTTGATCATTCTCCACTTTATTTATTGAGGCAGGTTCTCTCATTGAGTCCAGAACATATTAATGCTGGCTAGCTAGTCTAGCAACCCAGCCTACCCCAAAGATGCCTTGTCTCTGCCCTCCTAGAGCTTGGAGGCAAGGGTTTTATCCACTGAGCCATTTTCTCCTTCCAAGGAAGAAGCTCTTACAATCACTTTAGGGCCCAAGCTCTAACAGCTCCCTTAGCAATTTAAGCTCCATGTTTGGATGAAAATGACAACAAATGCAATTATCTTACTAATATAGAAAATAGGAACCATGTTTACTAATTTACTTCATTTTTAAGCCAAAGTACTGATATTGTAAAAATATTTTATTTTTAAGGTAATGTTTCTTTGCTAGAAATTATACAAAAAATAAGTAAGTGTAAATCCACTTTAAAATAAAAGATATTTTATTGTTAAAGTCATGTTTCCTTGCTAGAAATTATACAAAAAAGTAAGTGTAAATCCACTTCACTTTAAGTGTAGTCTCACTCGTATATAGTATGTGATGCTTTGAAGTCTAACTGTAGAATGTATTATATGATTCTATTGGTTTTCCTAAAACAGAAGTGGTAACCCAGTGGCCTATAAGCTATGTCACTTTAAAAAAAAACCGTGGAAAATACATGGAAACCAACAAGTCAATCTCACAGAAGAAAGGAAGGGACTAAGTAGTCACTTGATAAAGAATGGACAGGAGGGAGTGGAGTATAAAGTAATTTAGTAAGGGACACTAAAACACAATGGAAGAGGAGGAAATAGTCCAATTTTTTATAGTACGATAGAGTAACTATTATCTTTGATTACCTATGGCATATTTCAAGATGATTAGAAGAGTATTCAAGATCCCAGCATATTACAAATGATTACTATTTGAGGAGCTAGAAGTATTTATGATTTGACTTCATCATTATACATCAAATACATGTATCAAATTATCATCTTGTAACTCACAAATATATAAAAATGCCGTGTTTCAAAAACGAATAAATTAAACAGCATGCACAGGTCTTGAATTAAATATAAATATTTAAGAGAAATTGTTCGATGTTCTCTGAAAGATACTGTTACTAAGAGGCAGTGACACAAGAGCAAGTTCTATACAACCAAAAACAAAGACAAAATTTCATTTTGTGTATATGCAAAGTACACTAACAAATAGCTGACAACTTCAACAGTGCCATATTAATTTAGTTTGGTATAATAAATATTGTGGGAATGAGAGTCAGCATGGTGTAGTAGTTTAAAAAATCTGATGGTCGAAATCGTGTTGTCTTGAAATTTAACCTTAGCTATGTTACATTCTAGCTGAATGACTTTGGATAAGTCACTTGCCAACCCACCGTAGTCTTCATTGTCCTACCTATAGATAGGAAAAACAATCATAGTTATGCCTCAGAAAAATTATTGTGATAATTTAATGTGTTATAACACATGCAGGAACTTTTGGAGTATTGCCTAACCATAATGATTTTCGGTGACTAATGCTTTTAAATACTATTGAGACTAAAAATTGTATAACCCATATGCTTCAATATCATTGATACTTAAGATTCCAAATTTTCACCCTTAGCCATGTTGGTCACTACTGTGTTAGAGACAGGGCTATTACTTTCATACACAAACATTTTGTAAATAACTAACCTCCATCATTGTCCAAGTTGTCACCACAAAGCATTTCCATGACAATGTTGCAGCCTGTCCCACTCCAACCGACCTGACACACACAGTGCCAACCATTTTGATCCAGAGTACACCGTCCATTTCCAAAGCAGAGTCCTGGGCAGCCATCTGAAAAGACAGCAGAGGGTAACAATCAGAGACATCAGAGTGGGATTGGCCAACAGTGATGTATCTGCCTACAGGGAAGAATCTAATCATCTGGGCTCTGTTCAGATGAGGTGCTGAATAAATGCAAGAGGAGCTTGCTTACTTGCAACACCTTCCCAAGGAACTTGTTATCCCTTATTTTGCAGTGTTTTTCCTTAGAGAGCCAATTAAGTGTTATCAGTGCTAACCCCAATTTCCAACTTCTGGTTCACATAGGAGGAAAAACATAGTGGGGACAAGAAATGTTTTTGTTTCTTTTTGAAAAACCTATCTCCTTGTCTCAATCAAAACTGGATGGATGATGCTGTATCCAGTTATGGGCAACAGGTTTCGGGAAAGATAGCAGTTTCTACGAAGAGGAACTTTCCTCAACTACTTCTAGCCTATGCTGATTTTTCCCTTGTGATCTGTTGCATCAGGACTTAGGTATGTTTCTATATAATTCAGACCATACCACTATGTATATGCTTATATAGTTCCTTAGAAATGTGCTGCGATTATTCTGCATATATTAAGATTTTCAAAATTAGTATTGCTCTGAGGACAAAATCACTGGAATTTTTACTTCTGTGGTATCTCTTGCAAGAGCTAGCATAATATCGCCTGTAACAATAATAGTAGCTGCTCAGAAAATGTTTATGGAATTAAAGAATGACACACTTAGAGCTTCAGAATTCTAGAGAATAACTGGGAAAACATGCTCAAGAGAAAGGGTAATGTTTAAAAATCTTTTATCTAATTGACATAGTGCAAACACCGACAACAGTCCCTCTTCAGGATTTAGTTTCTTTTTCTTTTAGCACCAAAAATATGTCTTACTCTTTCTACAAGTAGTTCAGAGATAAGCTCTATCAAAAAGAAATTGCACATAGCAAGTGATCAGCAGAGTATAAATGGAGACCATAATAATAACATGTATCTCTTGAGTATTTCCCCAATCATCATATAAGACTAGACCTGGTTTTTACTGGGGTAGCCCAATCAGTATTCTTTTGACTGTACGTTCTTGAAAGAAAATTTCAGAAATATAAATATAAAAAAATAAGTCTTAAAATATCTGTAGAAATAACCCCATATACTTTCCAAGGTTTTCCAAGTAATTACCAAAAGGTCAGAGGAAGAAAAATAAAACTATAAAATTAAATAACATATGGTTGGCAGAAAATATGACAAAATTTATGTTTATCATAATCCCAAGTCATAGCATAGGAATAACACACACACCCTTGTAAGGGGAACTTTCTCCAGGTTCTATTCTAATGGACATTCACTGAAGAAGGAAAAAAAAACAGGGTAATTTTGGACAGATTCAACTTCTGAAACTAAGATGATAAAGAACACTACCTATCTGACAGAAAGTCCCTTGCTGTCACTGTTAAAGGCAGATCCTTGGAATGATAGATAATAGGCCACTTATAATGGGAACCCTTGTAAGGACTTAAGAGTTATCAATATGCACTTAGACATACACTGTTTTGTTGATGAAGCACTTCAGTTATCTACCTAAACTTAGCTTATTTAGTAGTTGTCTGTGTTAGACACACACACACATACACACACACACACCTCGATATAAAAGGACAAAGAAAAATAGTCTTTAAAATTGCTAATCAGTCTATTTCCTGGCAAAAAGTGGCTTGAATGTTGGAAAAATAAATTATCTTCTAGTCTATCGATTATAAACACGACAATATTGTCATTAAAGAAAAACACTCAAAGTAATAACCAGAAAAAAAACAACCAAACAAACAAATAAACAAACCAACCAAAAGAAACCAAAATACGACCTTTGTTCTCCCACATGCATATTTTCTGTTTAGAGCACATTTCTACTATAAAACTCATGAGAAAGATCTTACCTCGAACAGCATCTAAGTAGTGAGCTAAAAAAAAGGGGTTTGGGGGAAGAGTGATTAAATAAATTTTTGGGAGACCAGATCAAACTTTACAACACATACTAATGGTTTCCCATCTGTTGCGTGGAAGGAGATCAGCAAACTATGATCTGCTAAAATGCCTGCAGCTCAAAACTTGGTCCGCTGGCCTATGGATTTTGTGAATAATATTTTCCACAGGAAAGTTATTAATGGCTTTTCTGCAAGAAACTCTATTAGGCTTCATAAAACTGTGTCATATTTCACTTAAAGTATAAGAACTGCATTTTTAAATATCAGTAATAACTTCTATGAAAGAGCACTAGTTTCAACTTCTTATTAGTAATATCTTTAGAAGGGAGTTCTGAAGTAACCGTCTTTGGTAATCATCACAATATTTAAATCCTCTTATGTGAAGGCAATAGACTTACTGTAGTGCAGAAATGTAGTTAGTTAAGATGCATCTGAATCTCACCCCTCACCACCTTTTTAATGAATCTTAAATATTTTCCACAGTCACAGAATGAGACTTACTGTACCTTTAGTAGACTAGTAATGCAGTTTATTAAGATTATATATATATATATATTGCATTGCTTTGGCAGATTCCAACCATTATAACAAAAGACTTCTACCTGAAAGTGAAAGCAACAGTCTACTGTGGGAAAAAAAATCTCACAGTGCATAGTGTATCAAGAAACTCTCACTCTTGTTTTGCTCTACATTCATTTTCTGTCTAGTCATAGATTGCCACTGGAACACTCTGATCCATTTCCTTAGTAGAAAGATGAGAATTGTATAATTGTAATTATTTCACTATACATATCTATTAGTTTTGATTGTTGACTACAAGCTTGAATAACTGGAGAAGAGAATCTCAGTGAGAGACTGTCTAGATCAGGTTGACTTGTGGGAACGTGTGTGGGGGATTATCTTGCTTACAGTAATTAAGATAGAAAGACCTGCCATTGGGTACCAGTCCCTCAGTAGGGAGTTCTGAGCTGTAAAGGAATAGAAAAGGTGAGCTGAGCACAAATATTCATGCATTCATTGTGATCTGTTCCTGATAACGGATGTGATATGACCAGTTCCCTCAAGCTCCTGTCACTGTGAGTTCCTTGCTATAATGGACAATCTATGACGTGAAACAGGGAGTTAAAACAAACCCTTCTTCCTTAGACTTGCTTTTGCAAGAATATTGTGTCACAGCAAGCAGAAATGAAACTATGTAAGAAACCTTTGTGGTAGAAATGTGTATATATAAATGGCTTTCATTATTTTTTGCAAAACAAAGTGTTTTATGAAATCTTAGAATAGCACTAGATTTTACAACGTGAATTTCATGTGATAGGTTAATTATTACATAAGCTTCCCTATACCCACAGTGTATTCTGCATGACAGTGCCCTGAAAATTTGTGAAATTGATGACATGGCTGTGAGAGAGGGTGAATGCTTCAGCATAAATACTCTGTAGTATTGAAAAGAATAAACAATTCAACACAGATGTTTCACTGATGATAGGTCAGGAGTGCCTTCCTTATACACATTAAAGACAGACTCCCATAATATCAAATGGGCCCTGGTAAAGCATTCCCATCTAATGAAATTGTCTCTAGGTGCTTTCAACCAAAACAACCTACGCTTTTGGAAAGGAAAGCAGTTGTCTTATTAACTAATGACAATTTATTCTAATGTATCCTCTTTCATTTGAGTAACTTGAAGGGTTTCAAAGCAGAAAATGTTACTGAAGTAACGAGGAAAGAAATGGCAGAAGAAATCAATACAATATTGCCAAAGAAGAAACCTCCCTGTTCAAAAACTTTCTTTACTTGTAGCCGATCCTCCTCTTCCTGCCTTTCCCGACTTCAAATCTATTAATATTTTGGCAAATGACTCACTAGACTGCTATTACTTCTTCAATTAATACAATTTACTTTGACTAAAGTATGCTGGTACTTACCAATTGTGCAGTGGTCGCCCTCCCATCCAGGGCTACACTCACATTTTCCGTCTTTGCATTGCCCATGCTCAGCACAGTGAGAGTGACAGGAGCGTTCCTCACATGTTGGTCCTACCCAGCCTTCTTCACATTGACATATTCCCCTTGAGCAGACACCATGGCTACCACACTCCATGGTACATAGCTCTGTGGGAATTCAAAGAACACACAGAGCATTTTGTTAAAGATGGCAACCATTCTTTGCTAAAGTCATCAGAATGAACAAACATTCCAGGATACACATGTACTTTAAAGAAAATGTTTATGAGTATTTTTTTGTTTTTTATTTTAATTTCATGTGTAAGAGTGTTTTGCTTGCATTGTGAAAGGACACTTGTGTCGTGCAATGATGCAGTGGTCAGAAGAGGGCATCTGATTCCCCTGGAACTGGAGTTACAGACAGTTGTTAGTCACCATGTGGGTGCTGGGAACCCAACCAGCTCATCATTCTTAAATACTGAGTCATCTCTCCAGGCCCAAATATTTGTGAACGTTTTATATTATAAAACATATAAACAATCAAAAATATCTTTAGTATCTTTAAACATACAAAGAACTCTCCAAAAAGGTAGGTAAGACTCTACATACAAAATAAATTCAAAGGCAAATAGCATCTAAGAAGTCATAGAATGATAACGCTATTCAGAACTTGGAAATGAACTGAATGTCCAACAAATGTCATGGAGGTTTACTTAAAATTAATTAGGATCACAGATAGTTTTGCATGGATTTTATGATACTGCATGAATTCATGGGGGTGAGGTGACATACTAAATTAGTAACCTAAGTTTATTCAGGAAAACAACAATCAGAAAGAAAATATCCTTCTAATAAAATTCATAATACACAAAAGACAAAGCTCCCAATGACAGCAATCAACTTGTTTCTCTGATCGCACAATCAATATTTAAATTTATTTTAAGCATATAAAATGACTTCTGGATGATTAAAGTACACAGCCTTCTTATCCTGAAATGCTATTCAGTGTTTGGGCAGTATAATGATGGTGGATACTGGCTCTGCCAAAGTTGTGTGTTTCATGCCCTTGACTTTTTAATGAGAAATGTTGAATATTAATAAAATCTTGACAGTAGATAAACCAAAATAAAGCTTGGCAAGCTTCTTTCTTGCTCTAATTCCCCTGCTGGAGGAGACATTGGATGAAAGCTTATTGAAAGAATCCAGTGTATTTGGTGTTTAATGGTCACACATCTGGAAAGGGAAATGAGGGTGTTCTGGAAGTCGAGTTGTCATTTTCATAGTGTCAAGTTTAAAATGCATTTTCTATATTAAGAATCTTTCAGTTGCAGTAATAGTAAGAAACTCCATATATAATAGAAAAGTTTTTCAGTATGTGAAAATATTTTTCTGATAAAGCAATAGGTGCAGATTTTGTTAAAATCTCGATTAATTTCTTCACTAATTTATTTCTGTATGTGTGTGCAGTGTGTGTATGTATTCACATGTGTGGCAATACATGTGCATGGGTACACATGCACAGGTGCATGTGTGTCGAGGCCAGAGTTTGAAGTCAGATGTCTTCCTTGATGGCTCTCCATGTTATTTACTGAGGCATGGTCTCTTGCAGAACCGAGAGCTCATTATTTGGTTAGTCTACCTAGCCAGTTTGCCCCAAAGATCCCTTGCTTCCACATTCTTAAGTACCAAGGTTACAAATGGGTCATCACATCTGCTCTGCTTTTTCACATTGGTTTTGAAGTGCCACACTTGAGTCTTCACACTTATAGAGCAAACTCTGTATCCACCAAGCCCTTTACCCAACCCCTAATTGATTATCTTTTGAAGGTGGGGGTTGATGGAATGTAGTGGGTTGAAATATGAAATAAACATGCCTGAAACCCCTTCTTAATAGCTTTGAACAAAAAGTTACCAACACGTTACACCACAAAGAATAGTGAACACTTCTACAAGGGCTGTTGGACTGATTTGTGATGTATTTCAGAGATATAATCAACTGGAGTTCCTCAGAATTGGATGTGATGTATAAAGAAAAGGGTAAATAACTAAATAGTAAATGAAAAGATAACGCTATTAATGGAATAGAAAAGGCTGGGCGGGGGAATCATGAGTACAAGACCAAATAGCCTAACTTTAAGATATGCATAATGAGGTTCTTGAAAATGTCCATTAAACAATAGACTATATGATTCTGATAGGCTAAGGGCTGGAGATATGAAATTGAAAGTCTTAAACATATAGGTGCTATTTAAAGGAAGGGAGCTACCTCAAAAGAGATAATAGCAGAGCCTCTGAAATGAGTCTTGAAATATTCACTGATTTAAAGACTAGATATGTTGCTACAAATGGATACAATTATCATTTGTTAATTAAAAATAAAATCCAAAAAATATCAGGAAGAAAAAGGCATCATCAAAGGATACTGGGAAAAAAAAAAACCAGTGAAAGGTAGGAGGAAATCCAATGAGATTGTAGTATTTCTGAAGCCCAAAGGGAAATGTTTTCAAGAAAGGAATTTTTTTTATAATTACTATTGCCAGACACAGCCTGAATTATACTCGCCAGATTTATTAGCATGAAACTGCTAGTGACTCTAGGAAAAGCTGCGCAGTAGTGGTAAAACCAGATTGGACTGGGTAAAAGAGTGAATGGAAAGTCACGTGTAGGATTACCAGGTCATAAAAATGTCCACACTGAAAAGTATATTTTGAAAATTGAGCCTTGGTGTAATAAGTGGTACCTTACGTAGAGTTATCTTGCACTAGCTCTTGGCCCTATATCTTTATTCTGCATTTCTGATTGATAATCTGATCTTACAATTTCAGTTCTTGTAATGTATCTGAGATTGTAATTGTGTTCCCTTTAATAGATTCCCTCATAACACTAAAAACTGAACTGAAAAGACCTTTCGATGACCAGGGAGCTGAATGGACAAAAAGTCCATCTAGTCAGGACAGAATAAAACAAATGGAAGGAATCTTTTACTGTATTGATTTGCACAACCGTTTAAAGAGAGCTGCAAGGAAGCCCTGACTAAATGTAAAACAACGATAACTAAAAGCTTGAGAGTTAAGAAACAATGTAGAAATTAAATATTAGTGTGTAATAATGTGCAAGATAGAGTAAGTGCCCTATGTGAGATGTTTGTATTATACAGGAGGTAGGAAAGAAGTACTTTGTCACATTTGCATATACAAACTTAAAGGTAAAATTCAGGTTCAAATAATAGGGACCAAAATAACTTTTAGTATTTTCCTGATAAAAACTAGAAAATATGGATAAAATATATTTTTAAATTGTTGGGAAGATACTGGATTTCAAAAGACAGTAAAGAAGTGTCTGTCACTTAAGGTAGAGGGGAGCTAGAAAGGCTTAGAAGCTGGGTCATGCTTTACCAGTCTTATAAGGAGAGAAAAAGATTTGAATAATGGCTAGGAAATTTTCACCTTTGTAGAAAGCATTAAGACAAATATATGAAATAAAATTGAAGTAACAAAAAAAGGGAAATGGACACAATTCACAAATAAACAACAAAATATTCATAATGATAGTCAAAAACATTATTTTCCCTTATTAACTAACAGGACAAGCAAATCAGAAATAATATGAAATATTTGAACATGGCAAAAATATGTAATTTAATTGACAAATATAGAACAATTCAATAAATGACTATAAAATGCTCATGATTTTCAAATATGTACTGAGTATTTACAAATATGAGCCGTATACTGGGCTGCCAAGTAAATACCAACATATTCAAGGAACTGAAATCACGTATATGGTATTTCTTGCCTACTAAAAGCCATAAAACTTGAAATCATCAAAGAGAAGACTAGAAAATATACCAATATATCTTTGAAAAATCAAGTATACCTTTCAGAAGAAACTATGAAAGAAAGAATTCATCATGAAAAGAATGAAAATGAAGTACCCTTTATAAAAATCTGTACAATGTAACTATATCCACATAATTCAGAAATCTGATAGTGTAGAAAGGAAAATGAGTGGCAAGCAAGTGACCTAAGCATCCATTCAAAGAAATTACAGAAGAGCTAAGTACATTCAAGGAAGTAGGGGAAAAGAAAATAACTTAAGAGCTGAAAGTAGGGGCTGGAGAGATGGCTCAGCGGTTAAGAACACTGACTGTTCTTGCAGAAGAGCCCGGTTTGAATCCCAGCACCCACATGGCAGCTAACAACTGTCTGTGACTCCAGTTCCAGGGGATCCGACAGCCTCTTCTGTCCTCTGTGGGCATTGCATGACACAGGTGCACTTAATAAGATGTGGGCAATACACGCATACACATAATATAAATATAATAGGGGCTGGAGAGATGGTTCAGCAGTTAAGAACACTGTTCTTGCAGAAGACCCGGGTTTGAATCCCAGCACCCACATGGCAGCTAACCACTGTCCGGAACTCCAGTGCCAGGGGATCCAACAGCCTCTTCTGACCTCTGTAGGCATTGCACTACTCGGGTGCACTTACCTCCATGCAGGCAATACACGCATACACATAAAATAAAAACAATAAATAAGCCGGGTGTGGTGGCATGTGCCTTTAATCCCGGCACTTGGGAGGCAGATGCAGGCGAATCTCTGTGAGTTCAAATCCAGCCTGGTCTACACAATGAGTTCCAGGACAGCTGGGGCTACAGGGAGACCCTGTCTCAAAAAGATCAAAAATAAATAAATAAATAAATAAAATAAAAATAATAAATAAATTATTTTTAAAAAGAGCTGAAAGTAGTAAAATTGTAGCAAATCAACTACAAAGAAAATAAATTCCTGATTTGTACAGATGAATAAACTTAATTATTTCCTTTTTGGGAGTGGTCAATCAAAGCAAAAATATAGAAGACTCTATTAACTAATAACAGAAATCCAAAAGAGGAAATTTGTATAGATAATACAAAGAAGTTTTGTCACTGTATTTGAAAATTTTATGAACTAAACAATTCTCATAAAACACAACATGCATTGATAACAAGAAAAAAGAAACTAAATAGTTTATATTATAAAGAACTTTCATTCTCGGGCTGAAGAGACAGCTAAGTGATTAAGAGCACTGACCACTCTTGCCGAGGACCTGGGTTCGATTCCCAGCATCCACATGGTGGCTAACAACCATCTGTAACTCTAGTTTCAGGGGATCCAATGCTTTCT